GGTTTAATGTGTGTTTTCATGGGTGGTTTCATGGGTAGTTTAATGTTTGGTTTCATGTGTGGTTTAATGGGTGTTTCAATTGTGGTTTAATGGGTGTTTTACTGGATGGTTTCGTGGGTAGTTTAATGGGTGGTTTCATGTGTGGTTTAATGGGTGTGGTTTAATGGGTGGTTTCATGGGTGGTTTAATGGGTGGTTTCATGTGTGGTTTAATGGGTGTGGTTTAATGGGTGGTTTAATGGGTGGTTTAATGGGTGGTTTAATGGGTGGTTTAATGGATGTTTTCATGGGTGGTTTCATGGGTGTTCAATGGGTGGTTTTTATTGTTGGTTACATTGGTTGGTTCATGGATGATTTCATGGGTGGCTTCATTGGCTTTTTATGGGTGGTTTAATGGGTGGTTTAATGGGTTTTTTAATGGGTGGTTTCATGGGTGGTTTCATGGATGTTTTCATGGGTTGTTTCATTGGTGGTTTCATGGGTGTTTTTATGGGTGGTTTCGTGGGTTATTTCATGGGTGGTTTCATGGGTGGTTTCATGGGTGGTTTCAAGGGTGTTTTCATGGGTGGTTTTAAAGGTGGTTTAATTGGTCGTTTCATGAGTAGTTTAAAGGTTGGTTTCATGAGTGGTTTAATGAGTGTTTCAATATTGTTTTAATGGGTATTTTCATGGGTGGTTTAATGGGTGGTTTCATGGTTGGTTTCAGGGGTGGTTTAATGGGTGGTTTTATGGGTGGTTTCGTGGGTGGTTTCATGGGTGGTTTCATGGGAGGTTTCATAGGTGGTTTAATAGTAGGTTTCATAGGTGGTTTCATGTTTGGTTTCAAATGTAGTTTCATGGGTGGTTTCATGGGTGGTTTCATGGGTGGTTTCATGGGTGTTCAATGGTTGGTTTCATTGGTGGTTTCATTGGTTGGTTCATGGGTGATGTCTAGGGTGGCTTCATGGGTTTTTTATGGGTGGTTTCATGGGTGTTTTAATGGTATGTTTCATGGCTGGTTTGATGGGCGGTTCCATGGGTGGTTTCATGGGTGATTTCATGTGTTTTCATAGGTGGTTTTATGGGTGGTTTCTTGGGTGATTTCGTCGGTGCTTTTATGGCTGAACTGATGAGAGCTAGCTGAGGACGCCGTCCCACTACTACACTAATAACCTCTTGGTTGATATGCAGACCCTCTTTTACTGCTAAACAGGGGTCAACACAGTAGAGTAGGTCAACCCCATTGCCGAGGGGAGGGTGGGGAAATGCCCTAATTTACAGGTCGAGCTTTTTATGTTGTAAGTGTAAGTGGTGTATTGAGTCTGGTATCCCTCGGTATGTAGTGTAACAATTGATACTTACTTTAAACACGTCCGTGACTAATGGTGAATCGGTTAAGTTTGTTCAATTAATAAGTCCATGGAACATGGGGAGCGGTTCCAGAATTGTTGAACGTATGGTGTCAATTCGGACACTCAACATGTCAATGAAAAAACGTAAACTCAAAAAGATTTTTGAATAAAAGTTTAATTTATGTTATAAAGTTAGACAACTTTTTGACTTATAAAGTCATATATATTGCTGACTTAATTACCTAAAATCGTGCATATAATTTTATACATTTTTTTAGGGGTGGGGGGATATACCTTTAGTGTAATAAGAAGAACTCTTCACCCAAAACTGGCTGCCACATTCAAACCAACAATTAATAAAACTGACTTATTCTTACAAACACTAACCGTACCAAACATTCACATTTCCCTAAACATTCACATTTACCTAAACGTTCACATTTAACTAAAGATTCACATTTCCCTAAGCGTTCACATTTCCCTACACATTCATATTTCCTCCCACTTTTAAACAACTTGAAATAAAATCACTAAAAAAGAAAAAAAAGGACAAAGAGAAAAAAAATAACCCTAAGAAATTTTTTATGTTCTACTTTTTAAAGCGTTCAAAGTTGTCTTTGAAAGACAGTCTTTTTTTTTATATAAAGTAAGTTTATACTTTTTAGTATAAAAATTGTAAACTTTAATTTATCCACAAAACAATATTTTTTTAATTCAATAACCAACACTTACAAAATCACGGGTATAGCGACTAAGCTCTTTACCAGGGAAAAAAATAAATAAATTTAAATTGAATTTAACGACTGCTTAACATCCGTTTTTCAAAGTCAAATTTCCGAAATGTTTTCCCCAAATTCTTCACTTATCCCATTCCAAAATCCTACAGTTAATAATGATGGTTATTGGAAGCGAAATGGTAGGGTGGCCTTTAAAAAAAAAAAAAAAAAAAAAAAAAAACTTTACTTCTTTCCCAGTAACTCACCACCCCACTCCCCCCACCCTCCCCTCGCCCCAGCACACCGGAGCCGTAACTATGTCATCAACTCAAATACGAACTTACATGTCAGGGCGAGGAAGACTAAGTGGAACGAATGAGAAGGTCATGTGTGACGGCAAAAACAGTACGCTACAAACTGACATGGATATGGGAGTAGAAAGAAAGTATTTAAAAAATTAAAATGTTTGAAGACGTGTTAAAATACACTAAAAGGTAGAATGTCATCTTATTAAAATTTCTTACAATTCATTACCTAAAGAAAGTATGCGCAGAAGGTTAGTTAGGCACTTTATGAAGCCGAACGATTCCACTCAATGGAGCCGCAAATTAAATGGTTTTCTCTTAAATTTTTGAAAATATTTTATGCAAAGGCTTTCTTTGCATTGTTACAGTCACATTAAAAGACTTTCTTTGCATTGTTACAGTCACATTAAAAGGCTTTCTTTGCATTGTTACAGTCATATTAAAAGGCTTTCTTTGCGTTGTTACAGTCATATTAAAAGGCTTTCTTTGCGTTGTTACAGTCATCTTAAAAGGCTTTCTTTGCATTGTTACAGCCATCTTAAAAGGCTTTCTTTGCATTGTTACAGTCATCTTAAAAGGTTTTCTTTGCGTTGTTACAGTCATCTTAAAAGGCTTTCTTGGCGTTGTTACAGTCATCTTAAAAGGCTTTCTTTGCGTTTTTACAGTCATCTTAAAAGGCTTTCTTTGCGTTGTTACAGTCATCTTAAAAGGCTTTCTTTGCGTTGTTACAGTCATCTTAAAAGGCTTTCTTTGCGTTGTTACAGTCATCTTAAAAGGCTTTCTTTGCGTTGTTACTGTCATCTTAAAAGGCTTTCTTTGCGTTGTTACAGTCATCTTAAAAGGCTTTCTTGGCGTTGTTACAGTCATCTTAAAAGGCTTTCTTTGCGTTGTTACAGTCATCTTAAAAGGCTTTCTTTGCATTGTTACAGTCATCTTAAAAGGCTTTCTTTGCGTTGTTACAGTCATCTTAAAAGGCTTTCTTTGCATTGTTACAGCCATCTTAAAAGGCTTTCTTTGCATTGTTACAGTCATCTTAAAAGGCTTTCTTTGCGTTGTTAAAGTCATCTTAAAAGGTTTTCTTTGCGTTGTTACAGTCATCTTAAAAGGCTTTCTTTGCGTTTTTACAGTCATCTTAAAAGGCTTTCTTTGCGTTGTTACAGTCATCTTAAAAGGCTTTCTTTGCGTTGTTACAGTCATCTTAAAAGGCTTTCTTTGCGTTGTTACAGTCATCTTAAAAGGCTTTCTTTGCGTTGTTACAGTCATCTTAAAAGGCTTTCTTTGCGTTGTTACAGTCATCTTAAAAGGCTTTCTTTGCGTTGTTACAGTCATCTTAAAATGCTTTCTTTGCGTTGTTACAGTCATCTTAAAAGGCTTTCTTTGCGTTGTTACAGTCATCTTAAAAGGCTTTCTTTGCGTTGTTACAGTCATCTTAAAAGGCTTTCTTTGCGTTTTTACAGTCATCTTAAAAGGCTTTCTTTGCGTTGTTACAGCCATCTTAAAAGGCTTTCTTTGCGTTGTTACAGTCATCTTAAAAGATTAAACAACTCCTAAAAACTATTTCCCTATAAATCCTTTACATAATGAATTATCAAGCAATGCGGGTGGAGCTGAAAAAAATCCCAATTAGTGTCCCCCACCCCCTCCCAAGGCGCAACCGCATATTTTTTGACGCCCCTGAGCTATATTAATATTCTTATGACCCATCCGCTTGAACACCGCAGATTTATAACAACAACTGTTTCAGAAAAACAAAAGAAAATATGACGTTCCAAACTTATATCATATACGTTAACTTAACACAGCGGTTCTAAACCCCCTTTGGGGGTCGCGAGACCATTTCCCAGGGGTCGCCTAAGACCATCTGAAAACACATATCCTTACAGCTATGAAGAAGAAACGAAAATAATTGTGTGGCAGGGGGTCGCCACGACACGATAAACTGTATTTAAGGGTCGCGACACTAGAAAGGTTGAGAACCACTGACTTAACAGATATTCAAACGCGTAAATATTTTAAATTAAAATGCATAATAATATATTTTTTTACAATTTTTCGGGACGTATGTTGTCTTCGCAGCTCATGGCTGTGAAAAAGTTTTGTGTAAGCATCTTTTAGGTGTTGGATAAAATTTGCTCAAATCCACTGAAGTTAGAAACGTAAATCTCTCTATATATAGCTTCTTTTTTAAAAAAATAAGGATTGCTTGGCTTTCTATTTCCTAAAAATAAATTTTAAAGGACTTTTTAAATGTCGAGGCTTTACAGCAGTAGGTAGAATATAGCGCAAGATGCCTTCCATTATCTCTCGAGTACCACCTGGTTATATCTGCGAGTAATTAGAATAAATTAATGGTGTGATTTATACAATAGATAAATAAATATATCATAATTATCTCTGTAGCTATTTAAATGCAGCTCTGTCTATTTACATATGTTACATCTTTCAGTGTATCTGTAGCATGTCGCAAGGTCATTAACGTACAGGACATTAGTTGTGCTGTATAATATATGTTTGATTTACGACCTTAATGATGATATACAATTTTTATGACAAATTAACAACAACAACACAAACAGCAACAACAATAAACGATTTAAAACACAAATTGGAGAGATGAAAAAACTCCTCGACTGGAGGCAAAACGTCAAATCATTGCACAGACTTGGCCGACGGACAAACTTCCAAGACAAGTTGAGTCCAGGTCACCAATTTGTCTGCATTTAAAAGAAAAGTTCCTGTTAATGGCACTGTGTTTGTTATTATCCCAGCAAATCACTAAATAGAGCTACAAGGACTCTATAAGAAGCTTTGCATATAACAGTAACGGTCTAATAGAGAAGACTCAATAAGAAGCTTTGGATATAACCGTAACAGCCTAACACAGGGGTCGGGAACCTATGGCTCACGAGCCAGATGTGGCTCTATTGATGGCTGCATCTGGCTCGCAGACAAATGTTCGATTATAAAAAAAAATCGCGTAAATGGTAAGAAATACTCATTATTGATTAGCAACAGCATAACAATGTTATTAAAAAGAATTCAGGGACATAATTATTGCATTTTTAGTGTTGAAATTACACAAAAGGCACACATTTACTTGAATTTTAGTTTTAAACATAATGTATGGCTTTCACAGAATTACTTTCCATGGCTCTCTCAGACAAAAAGGTTCCCGACCCCTGGCCTAACAGCGAAGACTCTATAAGAGGCTTTGCGTGTAACAGCGAGAAGTATGACATACCAAAGCTCACCATAAAATGGTAGTGTTAGTCTTAAGTGAATTAAGGTCACATACAGAAGGAGCCCCCCGCCGAAGAGACCAGTGGCCACGTAGACGTACTCCAGCCTGGGCCTGATGACCAAAGGGGCGATAAACAGGTACAGGTTCAGTAACACCATCAGGACTGGAATCACGAGGGGGACCTGAAATTAAGATACAAACTCTGACGTACGCGATACTCCTTTACAGCAGTTCGAATGTTTTCTTGATGCGTTCTAGAGCAGTGGTTCCCAAACTTTTTTAAAAGTTTTGCGGACCGATGGATCAGTTTCCTACTGCACCAGGGACCAGTGGCAAATTTATAAATTATTTTTATTTGACCTTAAAGATAATAAAATATTTCTTTTTAAATCAATGATGTGAGAGGCATCTATTAGATATTACCATTTATTGCTAACCGTTATACTGTTAAAAAAATATCTATTTTGAAATGCTTTACAGGCAATATTTGCTTAAAATTTATGATGTTGTATTTTTAATGGACATTATGTGTCAAGAATAGTAATGTTTTCAAACTTACGATATGCGTTGATTTCTTTCAGAAAATAAACCAAAAATCACGAAACAGCATAATTATTATCTAAGTTATTTTAACAATTTCCAGTTTGAAACGAATACTAAAGCCCCCCACCCCCTCCTGTTCCTTAAGTATACACATTTGAGCTGTCTGATTATAAATGTCAGCCTTGCTTTTTTATGTAGCTTAATTGAAACACGAACAATTTGCGTAAATAAAACGGGAATGTGTCAGCGTGAATTGTTAGACAAAACGCACAAGTATGTATAAACCTGCTATCATGGCTGTCAACTTTATTTAACTTTTATACATTTTCTTGTCTCATTAGTTTCGCTAAGCTAGGTAGTGCTCGCTGACCGGCATTTACATAGGGCCCTATAAAATAATAATGAAAACGAGATATAATCATAGGACCTATGATATAATCATGGGACCTATGATATAATCATGGGACCTATGATATAATCATGGGACCTATGATCAAAACCATATAATTTAAAATGCATAACCTTATGATTTCTAGTATGCTGACTCATGCCCAAACTGCTTAAAAAATAATTGTCCCAGAATTTTATTAATGAGTGTATCATGAAATAATAAATGGCTTGAGCAGGTCCAATTTTTTGCGCCGTTCTGTATTTCATTTTCTACATATTATTTTTTTACCAGAGAAACCAGATGTCAAAGTTATTGCACAGACCGTTATGATTCGTCGTGCGTGTTTCATAGTCCAGAGTCTAAAGCGGAGCATGGCGAGAAAGACGCACATGTTGAAGAAGGACATCAGGAAGCTCAGGTAGTTGATCAGCGCCTCGATGTCACCTGGCACTAGGAAGATCAGAGCCATGGCCGCCTGGGGAGATAAGAGTGGCGGAGTTAGTGGGGGGGTGGCGTGGTTGATGGGAGGGAGGTAGTAAATGGGAGGTGATGTAGTTAATGGGAGGTGATGTAGTAAATGGGAGGTGATGTAGTTAATGGGAGGTGATGTAGTTAATGGGAGGTGATGTATTTAATGGGAGGTGATGTATTTAATGGGAGGTGATGTATTTAATGGGAGGTGATGTATTTAATGGGTGGTGATGTATTTAATGGGAGGTGATGTAGTTAATGGGATGTGATGTATTTAATGGGAGGTGATGTATTTAATGGGAGGTGGTTTATTTAATGGGAGGTGATGTATTTAATGGGTGGTGATGTATTTAATGGGAGGTGATGTAGTTAATGGGAGGTGGTGTATTTAATGGGAGGTGATGTATTTAATGGGTGGTGATGTATTTAATGGGAGGTGATGTATTTAATGGGAGGTGATGTATTTAATGGGTGGTGATGTATTTAATGATTGGTGATGTATTTAATAGGAGGTGATGTAGTTAATGGGAGGTGGTGTATTTAATGGGAGGTGATGTATTTAATGGGAGGTGGTGTATTTAATGGGTGGTGATGTAGTTAATGGGAGGTGATGTATTTAACGGGAGGTGATGTATGTAATGGGGGTGATGTAGTTAATGGGAGGTGATGTATTTAATGTGAGGTGATGTAATTAATGGGAGGTGATGTATTTAGTGGGAGGTGATGTATTTAATGAAAGGTGATGTAGTTAATGGGAGGTGATGTATTTAATGGGAGGTGGTGTATTTAATGGGAGTTGATGTATTTAAAGGGAGGTGATGTATTTAATGGGTTGTGATGTAGCTAATGGTGGGTGATGTATTTAATGGGAGATGATGTATTTAATGGGAGGTGGTGTATTTAATGGGAGGTGATGTATTTAATGGGAGGTGGTGTATTTAATGGGTGGTGATGTAGTTAATGGGAGGTGATGTATTTAACGGGAGGTGATGTATGTAATGGGGGGTGATGTAGTTAATGGGAGGTGATGTATTTAATGGGAGGTGATTTAATTAATGGGAGGTGATGTATTTAGTGGGAGGTGGTTTATTTAATGGGAGGTGATGTATTTAATGGGAGGTGATGTATTTAATGGGAGGTGATGTAGTTAATGGGAGGTGGTGTATTTAATGGGAGGTGATGTAGTTAATGGGATGTGATGTATTTAATGGGAGGTGATGTATTTAATGGGAGGTGGTTTATTTAATGGCAGGTGATGTATTTAATGGGTGGTGATGTATTTAATGGGAGGTGATGTAGTTAATGAGAGGTGGTGTATTTAATGGGAGGCTGTGAGGGTACACAACGAACTACACACCTAGCTACACACGTAACTACACAGCTATTTACACACCTATTTGCACACCTATTTACAGACCTAGCTAAACACCAAACTACACACCTAACTAAACACCAAACTACACACCTAACTATACACCAACTACAAAACTAAATATAGAAACCTAACTACATATATTACTACATTCCTAACTTCACACCTACTACACAGTACCCGTGGCACATTTGTAGATAATGCTTTATTTTATTTTGCCAATGAAACATTTATGTAGTTCCTAAATGTTTCAATACAGAATTAACTGAACGCTCTGTCCCTAGATGATGAACAGAAGAAGCTGGCGAGCGATCATTGTGTCATTCAAACTGACCGTCACTGTCATGGCACTGAGGGGTGTCAGACGATGGACTTGTATGTAACTGAGTATGTCAGGCAAGTTTCCGTCTCTGGCTGCACAGAAGGTCACCCTGCATGTAGTACATACATTATGTAAGTGAGCTTGGAACGTAGCAGTAATATTCGATGCACGCTTTAGCTTTACAAACTGAACATTAGGAAATAAAAAAAATGAACTATACAGTCAAACTGAACATTAGGAAATAACAACATGAACTATACAGTCAAACTGAACATTAGGAAATAACAACATGAACTATACAGTCAAACTGAACATTAGGAAATAACAACATGAACTATACAGTCAAACTGAACATTAGGAAATAACAACATGAACTATACAGTCACACTGAACATTAGGAAATAAAAACATGAACTATACAGTCAAACTGAACATTAGGAAATAACAACATGAACTATACAGTCAAACTGAACATTAGGAAATAACAACATGAACTATACAGTCACACTGAACATTAGAAAATAACAACATGAAATATACAGTCAAACTGAACATTAGGAAATAACAACATGAACTATACAGTCAAACTGAACATTAGAAAATAACAACATGAAATATACGGTAAACCCAAACAACTGACACGCGAATGGAGAATAACACTATGAAGACACATAAACATGACGAAAAAACACTGAAATTATATAATAAAAAAAAAGGTACACCATAAACAAATATATATTATAATAATAAACTGTGTGAAATTCACCAAAGAACTTAAAAATTAGATGCAACTCAATATATATGTATATATATATATATATATATATATATATATTTATATATATAAATATATGTGTGTGNATGTTTAACACGTTCTCTTACTTTGTAGGGTTCTTGATTTCTTCGACCAAAGCATTCAAATTCTCCCTGTAACAAGGATTTAAATATTTTTTTCAAAAGTCTCACACACACATACATATATATATATATATATATATATATATATATATATAAGAACATTAACAATAAATAATATTTATGAAAACAACTTAGGAGATGTTTATTGTAAAAGACGCAAAATATTGAATTTAGCTCTGAGTTCAATTCTGAAATGATTCTCGTCTCATTAAAATTGCATTGCTCATAACCAGTGCCGTCTTAAGTCTTAAGGCATGGGCCCACTGGACCCTGGCCCGGGGCATCACGCTTCTAGGGGGCCTCACGCTTCCAGGAGACTCACTCTTTTAGAGGTATCATGCTTTACATATTGTTAATGAATATTCAAAGATATTGGTAATTTAATTTGATTTAAAAGTCAGTGGACAGCACGTTTCCCAAGTTCAGCCCACGATAATATATCGGCACATTCCAAAATCAATAGTATAATCCGAATCACAAGTTGGATTCCTCTTAAAGGGGAATAACTATCGTCAGCAAGTTTGACTTTTCCCCAGATCGAAAAAATATAGTGAGAAGTTGTGTCTACAATCATGTTAGACCACTTTAGATGCTTATAAATGTCCTGCCCTCCCCCAGCCCCCCACCGAAAACATGAAATACTACCCACACTCCCCCTCGGAAAAATTATTTGAAAGAAACTGGTCAAAACGCATAGGCCAACCTAGACCATAATGCTCTTCATAACATAACTTGAATAGCCGTTACCAGAAAAGCGCTGCCTACCCAGGGTAAACTATAGTAAAAAGGACTTTGCCACCCATAGTGCAAAGTACATGGGATTTTATCGTTTAATTCACTAACGTCCCCTGATCATTTGCACCAGGGGGGATTGACCCACTCGCCCACCCTTAGCACGGCCCTGAGTTTATAGAGCATAGAGAGTTAGGGGCCTCAGTGCATTACTGGGCCACGAGCCTCAGCTGCGGTAAAGACGGCCCTGCTCATAACACGGTAACTTTAGACTGCCCAGATCAAAATATGGATCATGTGCCATTATAATCGTTGCAGCAAACAGAGTGGTGTGTGCTGTGGCGGTGCTATGTCTCGGTCGAGCGTAAGGGACTGAGCAAGATGGAAATATCTCAAGATATACACAGCATGC